AGTAGTGGCACCGACCGCTAAATGTCCTCCACCAAGAAAATCAGCCAGATTGATCGACTGGATTGGCAAAGGGCTGGACTACCCAAACGAGCGCTACTCAGTTGGTGTCTTTGCATCGGCACGTTAACATTGAGCGCGCTGACTCCAATTTCTTCACCTCACCCCACATTCTTTCTATATAGCGTAGATAGCTAGTCTCAGTTACCGACGTTTCGTGAACAATGAGCCTATTTGTTATTCGCTGGTTGACGTTGCGCCGCAGCTTATTGTTTTATTCCGTAGATATTGCTTGATTAAATGTGTGACTAGATGATTGCCATAGTTGCCGTTTACACAAAGTTTTTTAACTGAATGAACTGCACGTGATATTTGTAAAAACTGAGCTTGTTTCAGTATACCAACAACAGTGTAGAAACGTTTCACACAAATTCCATGCCACTTCACGAAAACAATAAGGCTTTGATCTTAATCATCAAAAACTAGTTGTTACTGCCACCATGTCTATAGTTTCCAGTGGCCATTGCGTTCTTGAATCTTAGCTACTGCAATGATCGTTAATCACGCTGGTTATTGTTGAATCGCCATTTACTTGACTGATATCTAATGCCACGTGTTGCAAAGTTAGACATAACCGTGCAGCTCGTTTGGCTTATTACATCTTTGGAAATAAATAGGCAAATTGGTTTTCTCTGTTCAGTTCCAGTAGATCAGATACACACATCGCACACCCTTGGACAAAACATACTGTCAGAGACTGTTAGTTCTGGTTCTCGACTCCCTGCACTTTTGCACACTCGTTTCTGTACGTCGATTACCTGTGTAATTTATGTGAGGTAGCCTTCATCTTCGCACACGTCCACTTATTCTGCACCTGACAAGGCGTCATATTCCGAGCACTCAACAAAATGGGTCACAATCTAACTTTGTAGTCAATACAAAGACGCCTTGGAACCGGTCATGCTTTCGTCGCCAATTGAAGCAAAGTTTAGTTCATGGTCTCAGCAGTCTGTCAGAGTATTGGATGCAGGTATATCCAGTCACTCTAGGAGTACATTATTTAGAGCATTTATTTTACTGTAAATCCTTGTATGTTTTGCCGTTCTCAATGTGACCTCCTCATTTAAACAAATTGCAGCTCGGGCAAGAACGGGATCAACTCCAACTTTCACGATGTGAATATCCACGTAAGCGTGCAATCGATCGACCTGCAGCTTTCGCACACCTTCACACTTCATCTGTATTCTGTAGCGAGTATGCAATACTTTAGTCTATCTCCCACACCCTAACCGAATGTCCATTTCTAGTCATAGGTGGTAAGCAAATCAAGCAGAAGAGAACTGTGACGAATCGAATGAACTGGAACTGGCTGAAGCAGCTACATTTAACACACGACGTAACAAGATGTAACGAGATGTCAAAAAAAACGAAACGTGAAGACTTTCACTCAACTCGGAGTCAATACAAATGGGAAACTGTTGGGAGTTACATATGAGCATCGCACCTGTTAACACGTCACGTCGGAGTAGTTAACTGGTTCCAACTACTTTTGTCCGCATTTTTTTTCGTCAGTTGGTCATCTACATACAATGGCTGCGGAACTGATAGATGA